GGTTCTGCTCCACAGGGTACCGAAGTGCTGCTATGGAGAGAAATGGCCCAGAGAGGGAGCTAAAATGCTGCAGTTGCTGCTGGAAGGGGAAACAGGTGACATATTCATGTTGAGTTTGATGTGAATGCAGGCAGGGAGTGAATAAGGGCATTGGGATCTGGCAAATCTTTCTGCTGTGCCAGTGTCAGGCTTGTGGCTGGCACCATTTGATGCTGTGGGCCCACACTGGAAGCTTCGATGCTGAATCAACCCCTCTGGGGATGCATTTTCGTTGTTGCAGGTGCCGAGATGAGGTGTTCCCCCCCCCGCCCTTGTTTCAACAACTTCTGGCATCTGTTCCAGTATGAGAAGGTTTAAAACACACTAAGCTTTTTAAGTGTTTTTATATATTGAATGTAAATGCTTCTTGAAGTGGTATTTTAATAAACAGTTTTGCTCTAATAGCTTCTGTGTGTGAGGTCTGTTGACTTTTTGGGAACCAGTGTGGTTTGGTCTTGCCCTGCGTGTTGCGTTTGGCTCATGGGAGTAGTCAGAGCCACTTCGTTGGCATGAGGCCGTCAGCCTTGTGTCTTCTCTGCAGGTGACCTTGGGCTGCCTTAATAAATCCCTCTCCTTGATGATGCTGGCACCAATCACCCGTGTTTCCAAAATGTGGGGTGCTCCTGGGGCAGGAGGTGATCCTGCTGCCAATCTGACTTGAGAGCTCCAATGCTGGGCAAGTTTGTTCCACCAGAGTAGAAATGGGCATGGAAAGGAGGTTTTTCTTTTTAATAGGCACAACAGAAGCCTGAATATTTATTTTTTTATCATCTCTTAAGAGACTTTCTGCTGTTCCTGGTCAGATATGGGAAGAGGGGAAAAATGAGCTCCTTGTTAAGTGTTTCTGCTGCTTCACAACATTGTCATCACTTTTACCTACTCTTCAAGAATACTAAACCCCCTGTTTTGTCTTAGGGTTTGGTTTTTTGGGAGTGGGAGGAGAAAGCCCACCCTGAATTATTCTGATTTTGAGCCCTGGTTATAAAAACAAGCAGCAGCATCTTCTATTTAAACATGATGGTGTCACACATAGCTCTGGCCTGTGAATGGCAGCCAAGCTGCCCGGCTTGCAGCTCTGTTGTATTCTCAATAAACAACCAAACTGAGACTGTGATTTGTTCCAGTCATTTATTTCGTATCATGGTATTTCAGAGCAGTGAATACAGATGGTTTGCTCTTCTAGGCTTCAATACACTCAACTATTGTGCCTAGACTACAGTGTTGAAAGAAGCTGTATTTTATAAGTTGTACTTGATCACAGCACAAAAGTCCATTACGGCTAGATCTAACGACAGAGTTAGGGGCCTAGTGGGTTTGAAGTCTGGTATTTAGGTGCCTAGGCCCTGGGATGGACTTGGCACCCACTGAGGTGCCTGGACTCCTGCTACAGGGGACAGAGAGGCAGCTCTGAAGGGTGATGCAGGAACCTGTCTACTGAGCTCTTCCTACAGGTAACAGGAAATTCTGCTGCATGGGTGAGAGCTTCTGCAAAGCCATCTCTCCCTGGGGTCCAGACACAGCCGGCTTGTGAGTGAGTCTGGAATGCTGTGGTGAAAGCAAGTAAGTGCCTACGACTGCTTGTTCAGAAAGCGGCACCTAAATCAGTTTTTGGATCTAGCCCAGGGCTTTGTGACAGGCCTCTGGGTACCAGCGGGTTAAACGATGCTGGGCTCATAACATATTGCTCAAAGGTGTTCAATTATACAGAAATTTATAAATTTTATATCAACAGTCAGATCTTTCAAATGAATATTGCTTTTTTTTAAAAAAATCCTACTCCTGTAGCAATCCCTGAAATGTTCCTGTTATATCTTTGTCATGCAAATAGCAGCGTGTCGGCAATTCAAATAATAAAGTAACCAAAAGTCTGTCCAGTGGGAAAGTGAGGCACTTAGGCAAAGTGACTTGTGGTCACTCGTGATCTGTGCAAGACCTAGGAACAACCCCCAGACCTGATTCCCATTCTTGAACTTGAACCACTGGACAGGCAAATGTTGTCTGGAGCTACTGTATGATGGCAGCAATACCTTTGCTGTGTCAAGATGGGCTTGTTTCATGTGTCACACTTAAACTCACTCACTCTTCTGAGCTCATTTCCTGTACCTCTCGCTCCAGAGGCCAGAATAACTTGGTTCCAGTTCTTCATTTTGAGAGCAAGGATGGATTAGAGTAAGGTAAGCATTCTAAAAACATCAAGTTGACTTTTCACAGACACAGGTGCGATGGAAAGACAATGTAGGTGTTGTTTTGGTACAGAAAATAAAGTCTGTTAACCAGGCCATCTGTTGGTACTGCGTTACACTTTTTGGTGTGCCGGATAGTGTGTTCTAGGAGCGATCTGGCTTTCCTGAAAGTCTAAAGAAGGCTTGAAAACACACACGAGCTCTGCAGGTGAGTCCATGCTCCGGCACCTGCTGTAGCTGCATTGTGTTACTGAGGTGGTGGGGGAATTCCTCCTGAAGTCGCCTTAAGCTTTTCTCTCTCCCTTTCTTCCTTCTCAAACCCTGAACAACAGATGGATCTGCCCTTGGGGTACCGGGCACAGCACTTCCGCATTTCCTGAAGCATGGCTTCACACTTAGACTCCATGTAGTTGTTCGCTGTAAAATAAGAAGGAGACACTAAATCTGCAGAGGGGAACAGGTTTTGCCCCTAGAGGCGACACATCTAGCCCAGCCCTTTGGCTGCTGGCAGTGTTTCCCTGAAAAGCAAGAGCTGCTCACAAGCATTTCATCACTCTCTCTGCTCTACAGAAATCTCTCTTTAGTTACAGCTATCTAAAGCTACGTCAAGGCAGGCTTGCTGGTGTGGACGGGAACATCTTCAGTCCCCCAGTTTTGCAGCTATCACATCTCACTACAGTAAGAATGACTTTTCTCTTATTGCTGCCCTTCAATCCTTACTTTCTTTAGCCTGTGCACTTTCAAGCTGGATCTTGTCATCCACAGTCTTCAACCCAGCTGCCTTGTCACTATAAGGTTTACAGCTAAGAGCAGCCAAAGAGGACCTGGTATAAACAGGGACAG